TCTCGTTCCCTGGTCCACAGTGACCCTGTGGTCAGTCATGCCGAACGATGTAAGGAGTGAGGTGATAGTAGGGCGTGGTATAGAGAAGCGGGGGCGGCTCGGCTCCTGGACCGGTTACATCCCGGTGCCAGGGTGGAAAGAGCAGCAAGCAGGCCGTGTGCCCGCATGAGTCCTCAGGGAACTACCTCAGCCTGGGGAGCTCAGGCGCTGACTTCCCTCATCTCTCTGAGCACAGCGGCATCTTTCAAGGGCAGCTCACGCTGGCTCTCCAGGTGCTGGACCAGCAGCCTCAGCATCGCCTGGTAGACGTGCAGATCTCGGTCCATCCAGAACTGCCGAATCACATCCTCTGGGGTGGGGCCGGAGTCCCTTCTAACCAGCCCTGGAGGGGGGCCCTGAATCCCGAAGGGAGAGCCCCTGCTTTCGTCTCTGCTGCGACTTCTTACATCTTCAAGTTTTACTCTCAAACGGCAGTTTTCCTTCTTTCCTTCCTAAGTTTATGGTGGGGTTGGGGGTAGAGGAAGATACTCGCAGTAACCCCAGAGTACCGGTACTGTAAAGTGGTGAGAATACATATATTAGCCGATTCTAGAGCACGGAGGGGCTAGTGAACCACCCCGGAGAGTATTAAGAGAAAAACGGACGTGTTTAAATCTTGAAAACAGTTATCATTAGTGGGCTGTTAAAGGAATTACTGATTGATTGATTGATTGATTGATTTTTTGCGGTACGCGGGCCTCTCACTGCTGTGGCCTCTCCCGTTGCGGAGCACAGGCTCCGGTCGTGCAGGCTCAGCGGCCATGGCTCACGGGCCCAGCCGCTCCGCGGCACCTGGGATCCTCCTGGACCGGGTCACGAACCCGCGTCGCCTGCATCGGCAGGCGGACTCTCAACCACTGCGCCACCAGGGAAGCCCTCAAGTGAGGTTTTTAGGTGTATTTTTAATTTAACTTTTTAATTTAGTCAACAAATTCTTGAGTAGTTTTTTTCCTTTTTTTGTTTCTTTTCTGAAGGTTTTCATGCTCCTATCAATGGGGAGAAAAAGATTAATCTGTGTTATCAAAAAATTCCTAATGATTTTGCTGTGGGGAAAAAAATCATTTTATAAGGATACTTTATAAATCATTTTTTTAAAGCCTTTATGCTTAATAAAACATGTACTGTGAAATGAGAATTATGTAGTGCATTACCATTGTCAGTCTGGTTTTCTGATTTCTCTCTTTGCACGTTCTCGTGTACGGCTCCACGTGAATGAATATCTATTAGGCTTTAGAAGACCACAGGATCCGCCATGCAAGAATTCTGGAAGCTTTAGAAACCGAGAAACAGAGGATTGCTAAGGAAGTACAAATTCTACAGCAAAATCAGAGTAATAGGGATAAAACTTTCACAAGTGAGTATAGGACGATTTTACCAGGTATTTGCTAAAGTTATGTATGTTATTTCATACAGTTAGTAAAATGTTAATTATCTTTGTATATTTAAAATTTTTTTTCTAGATGTTGCTGACTTCTCTGGATCTAGATAAATTGTAGGAATGATTAGTTTTAGGATATTCACTTTCTAGAATATTTAGTCATATAAGCAAATAGTAAACAGAATCCCAGGTATTATTTTAATGTGTATTATGCTTTTTAAAACGTCTTACTCTAATCCTTAATTCTTATTTTATCAGAATTATTAATCTGAGTTGTGCTTAATCATTGCATACTTCGTTTTCTTTCTCACTTGAAAGTTGTTATTTTTTTGTACGTTTCTACATTCCTGTGTAGAGCACAGCATTCTTTTTCAAATATTTATATATTTATTTGGCCGCGCCGGGCGGCTCGTGCCATCTTAGTTCCCGACCAGGGATCAAACCCAGGCCCCGGCAGTGAGAGCGCAGTGTCCTAACCACTGGACCGCCAGGGAATTCCCCAGACGCAGGCTGTTTAATGTAAACTTTCTTTTTTTAATTATAGAAAGTTTCAAATAAACTATAAAAGCAGAGAGATTACTACAGTAAACTCTTCCATACTTATCATCCATCCTCGACAATTACCCACACATGTTCAGTTTTGTTCCAGCCGTGCTCAGTCCCCCTGCCCTCCTGGACTATTCTGAAGCAAGCCCCAGACATCCTATCCCTTGATCTGTAAATATTTCACTGTGTATCTCCAAGTTAGATAAGAACTCTCTTTTCTCTCTTTCTCTGTCACTCTTTGAAGCATAACTCTGATATTATTATTACACCTAAAATATTAATAATAATTTCTTACACATTAAATATCTAGTCCCTATTCAAATTTTGTGGACCATTTCATAATTTTTAAAATCTATTTGGTTTGTTTGAATCAGGATGCAAATGTGGTCGTCCACACCCTGTGTTTGCTAGATGTGCCTTTTTTTTTTTTTTGCGGTACGCGGGCCCCTCACTGTTGTGGCCTCTCCCGTTGCGGAGCACAGGCTCCGGATGCGCAGGCTCAGCGGCCATGGCTCACGGGCCCAGCCGCTCCGCGGCATGTGGGATCTTCCTGGACCGGGGCACGAACCCGCGTCCCCTGCATCGTCAGGCGGACTCTCAACCACTGCGCCACCAGGGAAGCCCTAGATGCACCTTTTAAGTCTCTTTTAATCTGTCAGCTGGCTCTTCCTTCCTCTCTCTCTGTCCCCTTATAATTCATGTACTGAAGAAGCCAGGTTCTCTACCTGTAGAGTTTCGCAGATTCTGGGTTTGCTGACTGTATGTCCAAGCTGTTGCTTATGCCTCTACATACCCTGCAAAGAACCCGTCGTCATCCAGGTCCAGTGTTTTAGCAAGAATACTTGGTAGTTGTGCCGTATACTTTCCATAACTTCTGTTTTTAAATTACCTTGAAACTGTTACATCTGTTGTGAGAGATAAGAACATTGTATTAGTACATGTTTTTATTCGTCTTAGGTCCTAAAACAGTACCATGCAATGAATACTTGATTTCTTTTATCCACATGAACAATGAATTTCACTCTTCCAAAAAAATGTTTTTAATGGAATGTTGGTTATAAGTTTGACCGAACAATATAGAAAATGTTTATGATAAAATCTTAAATTTGAATTAGGAACGTGAAATTGTGGACTGAAAGTGTTTTTATGTCCTACTGTATCTCTGTTTCTGTCTTTATCTATCTATCTTTTTAAAATTTCAGGCAAAATAAAAAAGGACTGTGGTTCTATTTAAGTTAAGGCTGTAGTATACTTTACCTAATACTTTAAATAAATTGGAAGTTAGGAAAAAAAGAAATTAGAAAAAAAAATCTTTAAAAATATTAGAAGGAAAAGCAGCATCTTTGGCATTGCATTGTTTACAGAACCCATATCCTCTCTCTGTGAACTTCAGTTTTCTTCCATGCCTCCACAGGTGAAAGACCTCATTTTGTATGAAGAATATTTTATTTCACCAGTGAGGCTTGAAGAAAAGTTACTGAGTTATCACCTTCACCTTCTGTGATGTATCGTTAAAACCATTCGTTTGAAGTCAGTTTTTTTTCAGGACGTGTTGTGCCTGGTGGCACGTTAGTGCTCACATACGTGTTCTGAATCTTCTCCGTGTGCTCTCTGCTAGTTCAGCCCAGTTGGAGCTCCATGAAACTCTCTGTGATGATTCAGGAAGCCAATGCCATCAGCAACAAGTTAAAAAAGAATTATGTTTTTGGCAGGTGAGTGATTATCTTATTTGTAAAGTAATTCGTTGTTTTAAACTAGTCACGCTTCACGCTTCACGTGATTTTTTTCTGTTTTAGTTTCTCTAAGGACGTGGTATCCCACATGCCTGTCCAGGAGCGAGCGGGTGTCATAATCCCCGGGGGCACTTCCAGATTCCCCTCTCAGAGCTCACTCTGGAGTGAAAAAGGCTTTCAGCAATGAACATACTCGTATATTTTATAAACAGAATAATTTTAGATGTTTTAGGAATTCACTAATTTTCTTTTGAGTTGAGAATTTATAAGTATTCCACATTTTAAAAGGAATATACAATATTAGAACTTTTCAGAAATTATTATATAAGAAGTTATTTTAATTATAGTATATACCAGACATGATTATTAGTATAACAAAACTCTTTAACTGTGGAGAGATTTAATCAGTGGTCTGAATTTTTATGGGAGTCCTTCTAATTCGGGAAGTTCTAGGTTATGTATGTTTTAGGGGAAGCATGTTTTTCTTTGGTTTTTCTTTCAGACATGTTGTGTCAGATAAAGAAAGTAGCTCTGGAACTTGTATTCAGGTTCGTAACCTGCAACTAGGGGTCTCAACGGTCTGGAGTCTGGAAAAGTTTGAGTCTAAGCTTGCGGCAATGAAAGAACTTTACGAGGTTTGGAATATTATTAAAATCTCTATAAACTTTTTGAAATAAAAATATTATGTGTAAAAACTTACAGGATTCTGCCGGATTATAGCCTTAATGCTTGAATTGTGTAATGGAAAAATGAAAATAAACTAAATAGTTAACTCAATCTAGAAAAGAATAAACCTAAACCAAAGGAGAGTAAATGAAGGAATCATGAAAAATAAAAGTAATAATTGACAAATTAGAATTAATAAACTCAGGCTTCGGCTCTTTGAAAAGATGAACATGTGATTTTAGGCACGGACATAGCATTTAAATAGAGATCTCAAGCATTTTAAGATTATATTACATTTTTATGTAAATAAGTTTAATAAGTGAGCTAACAAGTTTAATTTCTAGAAAGTAAAGATTTTTCTTGAAAAAGAGAAATTATGAAAGTTGATTTAATAGGTGACTAACGAAGCAATAAATTGAAAAGTTTGTCAGTGAACTAGCCTGAGGGGAAAATAAAAAAAGATGCTGGGCTTCGCTGGTGGTGCAGTGGTTGGGGGGCCGCCTGCCGATGCAGGGGACGCGGGTTCGTGCCCCCGGTCTGGGAGGATCCCACGTGCCGTGGAGCGGCTGGGCCCGTGAGCCATGGCCACTGTGCCTGCCTGTCCGGAGCCTGTGCTGCTCAGCGGGAGAGGCCACAGCAGTGAGAGGCCCACGTACCGCAAAAGAAAAAAAGCAATAAAAAAAAAAAAAGATGCTGATCCCAGTCAATTTCATAGGTGAACACTTTTGAACCTCCAAGAAACAGACAAGTCCTGTTACATTTAAATTATTCTAGAACGTAGCAAAGAATAGAAAGTGTCACAGTTAACGATGCTAGAATAACTGATTACAATCAAAACAAACAAACCCCACAAAAACTGAAAAGATGATTCAAAAGAGAATTACAAACCAATCTTAATATGAACACAGCTATAAAAATCCTGAAAGAAATGTTAGTAAGTCAAACCCAAGGTTGTGTTTAGAGAATACTTATACCATGATTAAGTAGGGTTAGTTCCAGGAATGGAATGCAGGGTATATTCACAATAGAAAATACAGAAAGGCTGAAGGGAATCATACAAAAGCACTGACAGTTTACCTCTAAATGATGGGTTTGCAGGTGGTTAAAATTTTTTTTGTGTGTTTATATGTATAAATAATTTCCAGATTTTCTACAGTGAATGTGAATTGCTTGTGTAATTAAAAAAACAAAAAACTGTATTGAGGTCATTTGATAATTCTTGCCTTGACATATACATTAAAATCTGATGGGTGAGTTACCTTACATTCCTACCTTCAACCGTTTGTTGCAATATTCTTTACTTATTTTTCCATTTAGTTATACTATTCCTGAATCAATCTGTGTATTTATTTTGCTAGCACTTTAATTGGTATTGCTTTAAATATTTAAATTAAAATGTAGATTATTGTCATGATCAATATATTCAACCAGGAAGTGATTGAATCTCTTTTTATTAGAAATAATTCATAATAATTTATTCCACAGTTAATATTGACCAGATATTGCTTTAAGCATTTTATAGTTATTGGTTAATGTATTCATTTCCAAAAATACTGATTCATTGAATTAATATTTTGTGTCAAAGGTAATTCAAATTTGTCTTTGTTTTCTGTTTTTGTTTTTGCTTTTACCATCTTTACTGGAGTATAATTGCTTTACAATGGTGTGTTAGTTTCTGCTTTATAACAAAGTGAATCAGCTATACATATATCCTCATATCTCTTCCCTCTTGCGTCTCCCTCCCTCCCACCCTCCCTATCCCACCCCTCTAGGTGGTCACAAAGCACCGAGCTGATCTCCCTGTGCTATGCGGCTGCTTCCCACTAGCTATCGATTTTACGTTTGGTGGTGTACATATGTCCGTGCCTCTCTGTCGCTTTGTCACAGCTTACCCTTCCCCCTCCCTGTGTCCTCAGGTCCATTCCCTAGTAGGTCTGTGTCTTTATTCCCGTCCTGCCCCTAGGTTCTTCATGACTATTTTTTTTTTTTTAAGATTCCATATATATGTGTTAGCACACGGTATTTGTCTTCCTCTTAACTTCACTCTGTATGACAGACTCTAGGTCCATCCACCTCACTACAAATAACTCAGTTTCGTTTCTTTTTATGGCCGAGTAATATTCCATTGTATAAATGTGCCACATCTTCTTTATCCAGTCATCTGTCGGTGGACACTTAGGTTGCTTCCGTGTCCTGGCTGTTGTAAATAGAGCTGCAGTGAACACTGTGGTACACGACTCTTCTTGAATTACGGTTTTCTCAGGGTACGTGCCCGGTAGTGGGAGTGCTGGGCCGTGTGGCGGTTCTGTTTGTAGTTTTCTGAGCAGCCGCCATACTCTTCTCCACAGTGGCTGCACCAATTCACATTCCCAGCAGCAGTGCAAGAGGGCTCCCTTGTCTCCACACCCTCTCCGGCATTTATTGTTTGTAGACTCTTTGATGACGGCCATTCTGAGCACTGTGAGGTGGCAGCTCACTGTAGCTTTGATTTGCATTTCTCTAATTATCGGCGATGTGGAGTGTCCTTCCTGTGTTTGCTGGCCGTCTGTGTGTCGTCTGTTCAGGTCCCCTTGATGTCAGATGATTCTTTTATTTTTCTCCTGAGGACGCTATCGTTTTTGTTTTCTCTGTGTTTTCTAAATCACGTTTATTATTTCTGAATTATTTAATGATTACTGTTGCTTTTATTAGTAGATCTCTTTTAATATAATTCCTAGTGTCATGTGATTTTTAAAAATTTTATCAGGAATGCGATTTTTTTACTTTTAACATTATCTAGGTAATCTATAATTTTGCGAATTTTATAAACGCGGCAAAGTAAACATTTTTCCCTTAGTTGCTAAACATTTTTAACCCATAATTACTAGAAGCTATATATTTAATTTTCTTAGAGCCATTGTAGTAACAAGGGTGAAGATGTGTTTTGCGACCCTGAAGATGAATGGGAACCCGACATCACAGATGTTCCAGTGTCTTCATTTTCCAGAAGGAGGTGAGGACATTTGTGTTACTGGCTTTCTTCCTTCGCAAAAGAACTATCTGTTGTCATGGTGGATATCTGGGAAGGGAACCCAGTAGGTCACTGATCAAATTACAGCACTTAGGGCATTAGATCGTTTATATTCAGTTAGAATACGAAGAAATAACCTCAGTATTTTACCATATAAGTTTTAAGAGCAACTTAGACTGGCATAAACATAATTTCCTACAAAGATGAACAGTGTTTATTACTTTACCCTTTCTCAAAAGCCTGGCATATTCTATGATATTTTATTGTAAGTTACAGAGTTTGAAATGCCGTTAAGTTAGCATGAGCACCTCAGAACGCTAAATCGCGGTGACGAGGACTTCTGTACATGACAAATGTTGCTTATTAACTAGAACATACAAGACTCGGCGCCAGAGGACGCTGCCCCTGCACACGCCCCCGTGCTTGGGTTACAGAGAGGCAAACGCTGTAGTAGGACGGCCTTCGTCCTGGGACTCTGTTAGCCCCTTGGTTTGGTCTTTGAACAGGACTGCCGGCTGCCATGTCCTGAGGATGCGGGGATAAGTACAGAATATTCCCTGCCCTCTGAGACCCGGCATGGAGGAAAGTTGGGGCGGGGCAAGTTGATGAAGACCCGACCCGAGGCTGGGCAGGGGCTGCAGAGGAGGGTAGGTCTACGGGCATCCGCGAGGCAGGATCACGGGCCTCGGTGGCTGGTGTGGGGTGACAGTGATGCGGGGCTGCAGGCGGGTCCTGGCCGAGCGACTAGGGGAGGGTGGGGTTCCCTGAGGTGGACAGTAGGGAGGCTATTTTGGGCGTGGTGAGTTTGAGGTTCCTGGGGGTCATCCAGGTGTACGCTGAGGTCTAAGACTTTGTAGAAGGGATTCGGGAATTTTCAGGATGTAAAGGTCAGTGGCGTTGCATCCAGCAGAAGCATCGTCATAGATAGAACATGTACTGAATGCATGCTGAGCAGAGTCTCATTCACCGCAGAGCTGCTGCTGTCCTTACCCCCATTTTACAGGCGAAGTAACTAAGGATTTAAAGAGATAAGGATCTTGTCCAGAGTCACCAGCCTCTCTGTTGCAGAGGGAAGAACAGCGAGTTTCGGGTTAAATGTAATTTCAACTTCATCGCCTTAAGCGCAGCTCAGAGTCCGTTTGGGTTTCTAAACCTTTTTAGGCCTCTCTTGGTTTTGACCATGCTTATTTTAAACTCATTTGCATAAACTCTCCTCAAAGAGGTGGAACTGCTTAATTACCTGTGCCTTTTGCTTTATTTCCTGCACTCTAGCTGCTAAGCTAGAGTAAGAAATAGCCAGGATGTTGCGTTCATGTTATATGCTAGGTACGTGGCAGCTCGACTCTCAGGCTGAAGGAAACACAGAGCGTGTGCTTTACACAGACGCTGGGCTCCTTGAGTGCAGCCGCTGCGGACCCGCGCTGTGCAGAGTCACAGGTCCCACCGAGTCCTGAGTCCTCATCCTGGCCCCATGTGGCCGGGGGCCCAGGGCAGGACGTCTTGAGGCTTCAGTTTTCTCATCTGTGAGCTGGAGACAGGACAGGGTCATCCGTGAGGACCAGCTGCTTCTCCGGTGACCACCGTGGTCTCTGACTCGGGACCGATGACGCTGATGATGCGGTGTTGCTGTGAGGGTTTGAGATCCAACCTTGTCCGTGGCTGTTCTGTAAATGGCAGTTCTTATTATCAGGCACCTAATATATATTGAATAACATGAAATCTTGGGATACAGAGAGGATATGATTTCTGATCCAATTCCAGTGAAAAGATAAGTGATATCTTCAGGTGATTTGTCCCGAGGACTTCAAAACAGAGGTGGGCTCTGGCACTAAAATGAGCTAGCTCGTCCTGGAGTGGGATTGGGCAGATGGGGCCTGGGACACTTAACACCAGCCCAGAGCGGGTGGCATAAGCCTCCCAGAATTCAAACCAGACCTACAGATTCATGAGAGTGTGGTTTATAAATTCCTTTAGATTTAAAAATTACTGATTTCTTACTGTTTTATTATAAACAGGTATAAGTTTTGTGTACTCAGACGTGTGGATCGAATATGAGCATTAAAAATTAACATTAGGGGCTTCCCTGGTGGCGCAGTGGTTGAGAGTCCGCCTGCCGATGCAGGGGATACGGGTTCGTGCCCCGGTCTGGGAAGATCCCACATGCCGTGGAGCGGCTGGGCCCGTGAGCCATGGCCGCTGAGCCTGCTCGTCCGGAGCCTGTGCTCCACAATGGGAGAGGCCACAACAGTGAGAGGCCCACATACCGCAAAAAAAAAAAAAAAAAAATTAACATTAAAGTTTGATCCTATTGAAGGGTAGTAATTTACATCTTAAATCCCGCTGACTTTTAGGTTAATAATTAGGGAATCAACAGAAACTTAAATTGTCACTGAAAAATCAGAGCAACATTTTCTAAGATTTCGCAATCAGGTGTTTTCATTTGGCAGAGATGTTTTTGAAAACTTCTATAATTTAAAAGTATCATTTTTAAAAAAACACGGGTTGCTCTCGGTCAGGAGCCTTGTGTATGAAGTTTCAGCCTTGTAAGAGTGTTTATGACAGAATTGCAGACTCTGAGAATGCCTGAAAGTAATGGACTCTTAACTGTGGAGCTTCTAGGCAATGATGTGCCACTCTTGTTCTGCGGTGAAATAGACCAGTTTGGTGGCATATAAATTTTGATAAGTGCTGTTGACAGTTAAAAGTAAAATTTCCCCCGATGATAAGTAAAAATTCTTTGAAAGGAGTGTGACAGGCATTTTTTAATTTGAGTTTAAACATTGTTTAACTGTAGTCCTGTTGAAAGAATAAGTTTTCCTAGTTCAGACTTAATGGGATAATGTACGCTTTCCTTTCGCTACTAAGTAAGAAAACTGTAACCTGTGAGAATTGATATTTTCTCTCCCTGTTGTCAGTCATAAATCTGTGTTTCTCTCGTAGGAATCCATGGGGAGATTTTATATTTGAAACATTTAGGCGATTACAGATAGAATACTTTTGTTTAACCATCTTTTCAACAAACAGTATTTTTCTGTGAGTGGCCACCAGCAGAGAGGGTCCTGTTAAGGAGAAGACTTCAAAGGTCCCGCTGGACTGAGGTCTGGGGCCACAGCCTGACGGCTTGGGGCTGGAGCTGGGCTTTGGAAAGTTGGTCCATGGGTGGTGATCCGGAAGCAGGCACTCCTTCCGTCACACCCCAGGGGGAGACGTGAGTGTTTTTACCCTCGGGCCGAGGGGAGAGGCAGCAGGAAGAGCCACTGAAGGTCGAATCTTGGGGTCGCCTCCTGCCTTGTGCCGCTGCTGTGCTTCCCGGTGCTGTGCTCTTCGCCCTGTGCAGCAAATGTTTGCTTGAATTTATTGACCTGCGTCATTTCCCTGCTTAAAACCCTTCCCAGGATAACTTGCTCAGGATCAATCCACGCTCCCTTAGCTGGCATCCGAGGTCGGCCCCGGGCTCGCTCCGGGGGCCCTCCCGGCTCTGGGGCCGAGTCCTGCCCTCCGAGCGCCTCCGCAGCCCTCCGTGCCCTCATGACTTCCTGTGGACCGTAAGCTCCGTGAGCCCAGAAGCCCTGTTTGCTGTGTCTTAACCACAGTATCCGGAGCCTGTGAATAGTAGGACAGCTGACCCTCGAACAGCATGGGTTTTCGGTAGTAAACACGACAGGATTGGGGTTGGCTGAGCCTGCGGTTGTGGAGGAACCTCGTGTGCCAAGGGCTGACTGTGCGCCCCTAATGCCCGCCTCGTTCACGGGTCAGCTGTACATTTGTTCTATTCAGTTAATTAACTATAGGGTTAGACTTGTACCTGAAAATAGTAAATTCCTGTTCGATGAACCAAATTAATTTAACCCTTGATGAAAATATTTCCATGGCAAACATTCTCGTGGATGTCCATTCTCTTTGGAGAATTTAAAACTGTGTCCTTCGCATTTTCCCACGTGGAGTGTCACTGCCAGCCTTACGGTTTCTGTTTTTCCAGGAGCAGAACTCTGATGAAGAACAGGAGGATTTCCAGCTGTCTGCATGGCATGGAGGCCCCCGCGGTCCAGGATTGGCATTCTTCACACTCATCAGGTGCTTTTCTCTTCAGACTTTGTTGTTTACTGGGAATAGCACCAAGTCTTGTCTCTGCCACTATCTTGTTTCCTGTTCTTGTGCAAATCATTTCATCTCCTGGAAGCTTCCATCTCCTCTGTAAACAGGGTGGACCGGAGACCCCTCCCACTCCCGACACTCTGTGCTCTGTGATGTATTCCATGCCTTTAGCTGAGTGGCTAGTTCAAATGTGGAAGACGTGTGTTTGTTCACAAATGGATGAGGATGTTGTTTTCTTCTAAGTGCAAAGAAGGCAAAGTGTACAAGATTGTGTGTTACAGGATATCGTGTGGGGGGGGGGAAGGAAAAGGTGCATACGAACGGGCTTGTAAACGCGTGTGCTCTCCCTGAAAGCGCTGCTTGGTCCAGGCCACTTGCGGGATGGGACGGGACGGGAAGGAAGACGTCCGTTTCACAGCACATCCTTCGTTTTCTTCTGAATTTTATGTGATGTGCATGACTTGTCTAAAGCTACTTTAATTTTTAAAAGTTTAAAAGAAGAAGTTATAGGAATTATTCCACTGAATAATTATTTTATGCCAATATTGACTATGTTAATTTTCATAAGAAGAGGGGATACACTGTAATTTATATGTGTAAGTACCTGTAATAATTAAAATTACTGCCTGGTGACAGCAGACTACTGCACAGCAATAGAAAAGAACCACTGATTCGTACAGCAACCCAGATGAATCCCAAAACACGATGTCGAGTGAAAGAAACTAGATGATAACGAGTACATTCTGTATGATTCTATTTATAGGAAGTTCAAAAATAGGCAAAACTAATCTATCGTGACAGAAGCCTAGTACTTCAGGTAGAATGGTGGGTCAGAGGGAGCCTGCTGGAAGGCGGCGATGGGCGTGTTGCACGTGCCGATCTGAGCGGGGGTTGCGCGGGGTACACGTGTGTAAAGACAAGCTGCACACTTAAGATGTGCACAGCTTACACTTTACAGAATGTCTCTTGTGCCTGAGTAAATGGAGTTTTAAAATTATTCTGTAATGTAATAGTCTATTTCGATAAAGGCGTCAGTAGAATATGAGTAGCCATGTAGGAAATTGTGTCTCATCTTTGCCTTTAAAATAAAGACTCTAGGGTTTCTTTTTTTTTATCATAAAATTATCTTTTAAGAAGATAATTATTATCCTACTACTTGTTTAATATAGACTTTATGTTTACCAGCAAAATGGAAGCTTCTATATCTGTGGTAGCAACTTATTTATTCAGTATTATTTGAGAGTAAGATGTTTTACAAAGGTACCTTTTCCAGATAACTAAACCTGTTTCCAGGGTCTTTTTTTTTTTAATTGAAGTGTAGTTGATTTACATCATTGTGTTAGTTTCGGGTGTTCAGGGGTCGTTTTTTAAGGGCCCTTTTTAAAGATTAAGATACAAGGGGAAGTCAGACATATAAGAGGACTTTGCCTGTTTGCAGTTTTCAGAGAGGGAGCTGGAAACCCACGTGTGCATTTAGTGCGAACCTTCCCCGGGGGGCTGCGAGGTGTGGGAGGACAGGCCTGCCAGCTTCCGAAGGTCGAGCCAGTGTCTGAACCTCTCACCTTAGGGGCCGTATTTCGAAACTAGATTTTTACAAGTCTTTCTGACACGCTGATGCTGGATTTGGGGATGCATTCATACCGGTATCTCACTAAGCAGGCGTTATATGGTTAACTGTCCGTGGTGACGGGAGGAGCGTCGCTGTCATCGTCACCCTGTAGTGACAGAGCTTTGGGCTGGCAGCTGTTTTCTCTTCCCAAATCCAGCTCCTATCTCGGCTCTCGAATCTTGATAGTCCCCACCTGGTGCCTTTATTTCACTCTGCTTTTTAGTGTGCTGTTTCAAATGGCTTATGGAGTAGAGCAGAAAACTAATCGTGCATATTAAATGAGAACCCTACTCACGTGTTAGCATTCCGGGATAAAGTTATTTCCAGAGGCGCCAAATGAGCTCTTACAAGTTTTTCCGTTTACCTCTGGTTTGGATGGTGCTTCGAAAATTATGCTGAGAGTCTGTCTCCCCAAGATGTGATAGATTAACTGTAGACAGCTGTTTGGCTTTCACCTCTTTTGGTTGTAGGATACCTAGAGCAGGGGCTGCCAAGAGATCTTCCTTCTAATGTCGTTTGCTCTATTACTGCCTGCTTTTCCAGCTTATAAATTCATTAAACTTATTTTACTTATATTTAATGTGTTTATATTATTTTATGCAACTGCCATTGTTCTCACCAATTCACAGTTCCTTAGGTGTTACCAGAAAGTAAATAAAGAAGGAGGTTAAGCCAATGGTTACGTGGGATATTTGGATTCCCTGTAATCTGTGTCTGTAGCTGCTAAGCTATGGATGGATGCTGTTGAGAGGTTGATTGATTCTTCTGTGGAATTGTGTTTTCCGCTTGGTGTATGGAAGTAAGGGTGTCTTGAAATAGGAATAGCCTACTTGGAATGTGTGACCAGTGTTCTGTAGCCACTTGCACTGATGGATTTGTATTGTCCCTGGAAACGAAGCTTGAGGTGGCTGTTTTCTGTCGACACAGGCTTAGTGGGGAAATCGAGCCCCGTGTACCCAGATTCAGCAGAATCCTTTCTTCCCGGAGTTTGCAAGGAATTGATTGGCTCATCATTGGAGCTTCTTGGACAGAGTGATGATGAAGAAAACACTGTCGCGGACGACTTGATTAGTAATTTCCTTAAAATCCACGACGGGATACTTGCCGTGTCCAGAGCTCATGAAGAACAGGATGAAGACAGTCAGAGTAACGGTGAGCAGCCCCTGCCGCCCGCTCACGAGCACCGCGGTTCCCTGCTCCGTGTGCGTGGCTCTGTCACCTCTGCCATGCGGTGTCTGGCGTTACAGTGCCTTCATGCGGATCAGACGTGAGCTCGCGTACTTGGGGGTCACGTCTCATCACTTTTCTTCTTCCGAAGTGTTCTCTGATCGAGCAAACCAATCGCTCGCCGTGCAGGCGGCGAGCGCCTTCGAGCGGCTTGTGGTGCTGACGAGACACTGGCTGAGCGGCGTCCCCCCCAGGGCCAGCGCGGGGGCTTCGCCGGCCGAGCTGAGACGGGAAGTGAGGAAGCTGGGAGGCTGCTTACAGTTGTTTCTGCAGGTAAAGAGATCTCGGCTTATCGCTAGGAGAACTCATCTGTTCAGCAAGTGTTTATCGACTCTCTCCTGTTCGCATCTTGCCCAAAATTCGACCCTTAGGATTTTCAGAGGCGCTTTCTGTGTTGAAATCCCAAGACTGTGGATGTTGGATGATTGATTGATGGCACTGAGACTTCCCAGGGCTTTCTGCACGCTGAGCACTACAAATGTTAACTCCTTCAGTCCTCACCGCAGCCCCAGACGTGGGCACTGGTGTTGTCACCCTTTATCAGTCAAGCAAGTGGAGGCCGGGAGGGTGTGTCCATTGTTCACAACTAGTAGGTTGTAGACTTGGGCCCAGGTCACCGTGGACCCAGCGTGTGCTCCTACCTCCCCCCTGCCACCCTCGGGCCGTACTGCCCTCCGCAGGGGCTGCCGGGAAGGGGGTTGGGAGGGGTGAGTTAGTCACAAGCCTGCTGGCACAGGGGCAAGGAAAGTAATCTTGTTTCCCTGTTTACCTTAAGTCAGATAAGATGAGGCTTGGCTCATCTTAGGAAGAGGTAAGGTGAAAGCTTCCTTCCTCTCATAAAATCTGGAGGCGGGCTTGGTGGCTGCCTCGGGACCCCGGTTCCTTCCGTGTAGCTCTCGGCTGGGCCCTGAGCATGGCCCCAGGCTCTGTGTCTACCGCATCCAGGGCTCCAGGGAAGGTCAGTGCACGGGATGGAAGAAGGGGCCTTCTTTTAAGGAGGTTTCTGGAAATCGCCACATGACATTCCTATTTATGTATCTTTGGCCAGAACCTCATCACATGACCACACGTAGCTGCAGGTGTCCCTGGGAAGTGCATTTTTATTCTGGCAGCCGTGTGATGAGGGCAGACTGGAGGAGGGGGACATGGGGGCTGGTGCTGGAGAGACCCCACATCTACTGATGCCCGGACCTCCTCCGAGAGGCTCCGCACGTACGAGGGGCCAAGGCAGAAACCCAGAGGGACAGGCTTTGTAGCGAATGTTCTAGATGCTTGGACAGACCCTGTAGAGCCTCCCAAGACTTCCCGGTCCTTCTGCTCTAGTGGATGCTCAGTTGCATCAGATGCCTCCTGGGAGGCTCTCTTTTATTACTGACTGAACTTACGGGTCCAGTGTTGAAACTAGACATGTGGTTTCCGTTGTCCGTTATTCTCCCCTAGGAGGTCTTTGTGGGGCTCCCCGAGACCTGGCCACACATCCCTCCTATTAGCTCCTCTGATAGTAACCCTGTACGTTACCTGTTGTGCCTTTTAATGCACAGTGTCGGTGTGGTCAGTGAGCTCCCGGCAGGTGGACGGAATGTGGTGTCCTTTCTCACGAGGGCTCGTTGTGTGATCGATGCTCGGTTGGGTCCTTGTTATTGAATTAATTATAAACTGACATTGGACGAAGGGTCACTTTGGATATAGGTCACGAGGAAACAGAGTGACCGTCACAAGGAGGGTGGGCCGCAGACCGGTGAGGACGGGGGACAGAGGCAGGAGGGCTCGGACAGTGCAGGCCCTGAGAGCGCAGGCTGCAGGGTCACCCCCGGCCGCCTGGGCTCCAGCCACGTGGTCGCGGGAGGGCTGGGTGACTCGGTCAGCCTCAGATCCTGGAGGCGGTACAGGATAGGGAAAGCCCAACCCAACCCGCCGCGGGCATTTGGAAGTCCAGTGTGTGAACTGGGGCTGGATTAGGTGTGCGTGTGTCCTTGCACAGACTTCGTGAGTCTCCTGTTGCCCTAGAAAGTGAAGCGGCAGTGCCAACCTGGCGAGGCTGCTGTGACGGCCAGTTAGTTGGCTGGTGTTACAAGAAAGGACCGCAGAGGACCTGGGGTGGAGCGTTCTCCCGTCTCTTCCGTCTCGAGGAAAAGCACTTTGACCATAACTTAGGGCTGTGGCCCGTTGCCCTGTGAGAAATGCTTTCCATGAGGAATCAGGGCGGAGAGGACGGGTGACCTGGAGGGAGGTCAGCTGAGCTCAGGAGACGCTGAAGTTCAGCCGGCAAAACTGGATTTAGGAACTAGGCTCTGCTTAAGTGTAGCCTGATCATCCTTACCTTGCAGTGATACAGGCAGCATTTTCCAGGAGGCAGACCCGGGAGGGGTGCCTGAGCCGCCCTCCCCGCTCCTCTGGGGTACGTGGGGGAGCCTTTCATCTGTAGGGTTTCAGGTCTTCCCTCCCTTTTCCCTTCCCCTCCCCACCCCCCATAGTAGGAAGCGTCCTGGTTACCCATCCGTCAGATGGCCCCGGCACAGGGAGCGCTCGGCCGCCGTCTCACGTCTGGCTGCTGCCTGCTCCCCTTCCGTCTCCTGTTAGTGCAGAAGCTCTCTGAGGGCAGCCTGTATCCTAGTCGTGTCATCACCGTCAGAAGCTTGGGATCGCACGTTGTCTGGTTCCCATCAGACTTTGAGGAAGCACGGCCGCCGTATCGATGAATGCAGAATCCATTTTCTTCACGCTGGTCCTCTTGCTCTTACCTCCCCTGGTAGTTTCGTGTATCCGATACCCTGGTCCATTTTTATCTTACAGGGATGCTCTTCAGATATTTCATCAATGGTGAAAGAGGCTCAAAAGCAAGTGGTCCAGATTGTACACCAAGCCATCAAGTACGCGGGGCAGTTAGCAGCTCTTAGCGGGGACCAGCTGCGCTCCCTGGAGAGCAGCGACTGCGGGGCTGCCAGCCTCCAGGTAACTCGGCAGCGTTCATGGTGGAAGACTTCATCTCAGGGGACAGTAGAGGCTTCTGATAGTAGTGTCACTAAGCAGGATAAGTGTTTGTTTTTCAAAGCGGCACATACGTTACTAGTTTAGCAGGAGATTGAAAGCTGTTCCAGTCTAAGTGGTTAAATGTACCTGATGGTTTGGGATCCTCACCGTGCCTTCCAGATCTTTGGCTTGATGGTCTGCCATCTGCCCTGGAGGGTGGGTGCTCAGCCAGCCAACATGTGAAGAATGTAATTACGTTTGCATGTCATTACATGCATAGAAATGCATAGCATGACATAGAAATGTCATTCTAGAAAATGTGTATTTGCTTGCTGTAATTATTCATGCTACTGAAAACATAATATTGTATTAAAACGTTCTAGCAACACGGTGTCCTGTCTAAGAGGATGAACATTCTTGAACATATAATATGTGGGATACAAAATTACAGACTGGCCAATTTTTTTTCCTTATGCACCATTAGTTCTTATTCTAGCTTTTGTTGAATTAATCAACTTGGAATGTATTATAGTCCTAAAATAAGCAGAAAATATAACTTAATTATTTGGTAATTTAAAAAGAATATAGAACTTGAATTTGCCAGTTAACACTTAAAAATTTTTCCTAGGATGATTTCATGGGTGCTATTTGTGATGGTGTAGGCTTGGGAATGGAGAGTCTCCTAAATTCTGGACTAGAAAAAGCAAAAGAACTTGAGCGTGAACTCCGAAGGCAGAGTCCCCAAGATGAGGTAAGACGAACAAGGGAATGTCCTGTATAGTACCAGCCAGTATGTAAAGTTGGTTTTTAAAAATAGTTTAACTCAGTCAGTGATTGAGGTTTTTATAAATTTATGTATTTTAGCTTGTGTTGGATTGTTTTTTACTGAAAAGGCTGTTGACGTCATCACTCATGGTGACATTTCCCAGGTTACACCTGAGTCACTGCAGCCCCTTTTGTGGTTCGAGCTTTGCGGGTCCTGCCACGGCTGCTGGGGGATAAACTGAGCAGACGGAGTGTGTCAGCGACGCCTAGTGGCCACTTTCTGCTTCTCTTTTTCTTCCTCGTCTTTGTTCAGGACTCTGCTCTCCCACTTGAGAACGGAAACTACCATTTATCGATCCAGTGTCTTGAACAAGGGGAGTTCACATCCGTTGTCTCGTATCAAGATATAGGAGCAAGGGAGATGTGGGTGGCCTCCTGGGACAGACCTGCCCCTACCTCCTCCAGCTAATTCGTGTCACAGCACAAAGCCAGTGCTGGCTCACGGGGGCTGTGGGGATCTTGCTGGATCTTGCCATTGGAGGACCTGCGTGTGTGACCCAGCTCCGTCACCTTCCAGCAGTTGTTTACCAAGTCACTCAGTGTTCTGACCCTGTTTCTTCACCTGTCATGTGTGATAACACCTGTGGCACAGGTTGTGAGCCGTTTACTTATTAAATGACTCCTGGTAGCAGGTACTGGACCAGGTGTTTACACGGAGTAGAGGCGACCCTCACTCACCACCTTGCGGGGGGCGGTGGTTACTGCCGGTCCCGTGGCTTCACTGAGCCGGGGCACCTGGTCTCCCTGAGTCGGGGTCTTATGTTCTACCTGCTTAACTCCCAAAGTCAGCCTGCCGCGTGGAAGTCACTGATCACGGACCAGTCTTCTCTGTTGAGAGTTTGTATTAGTGAGTCGGGGATTCGGAAGGTGGAAGTTCAAACCTTGTGACGGTGGATTTCAGGTTGGTCTGTTCTAGAGTCTTGTTGTAACACCTGGTGTTAGAACCACATCTGAAGGAGCTCCCCGGGGACGCTTGGGTCCCTGAGGTCACCCACGTGGGTGAAGATTTACGTACGTGTTGGTGATCTGGGGAAGGCAGTTGCGTGGAGGGCTGTCGGTTCCCACCCCTCTGGGGGGTTGTTTACAGGAAGGTGGGGAAAGTGAGAGTTCTTTCTTCCTCTTAGGGAAATCTTTGCGTTGGTGTATTTCTAGCTCCCTTAGCTGAGGGGAAGCTTCTCGTGTGAGCCAGAGGGGCTCCCCGTCCTTCCGCCAGATGATGGGGCTTTATCTCTGCCCGGGGCAGCTCAGAGCTGGGAGACCCTGAACGCTGAGTTGCTTTCCCAGGTCCCGTGTAGCCTTGAGCAGTCGCCTGAGCCTCGGCTGTACCATTTACAAGGTGAGGACGGACCACGCTCACTTCCTAAAGCTGCTCTGAGCATGCTACGAGATTAAGAACAGCGTACAGGAAATCCTAACCGTAGACACTCTGCTTGCACTTTCCTATCTCACTTTGTGTCTTGTTTTGTTTTTAAAATAAACACATTCCAAAGGAGCTCACATTGTCACTGACTCAAGGTCTGTGGGTCAAATTGTGTCCAGGGGACACGAGGCTGATTTGGGTTCCTTGATGCGGCTCTGCAGGCAGGGCGCTCTGCCAGCGCAGCTGACGCCGGAGCCTGGCTGTGCCCTGCAGCAGTGGCGGTGACATTCATCACTAACACTTATCACTGTTTGCAAAGTAGAATTCCACTGGCAAGGAGTGCAGAAGGGTGCAGAGTAAGTTAATGAACAGTGCAGGTGGAATAGTGCGTGTGGGTGTGTTTAGCGGGTGCTGAAGCAGGTGCAGGTGTTGGCGCTGGTCTTTTTTTTTTGAATTGTATTTTATTTATTTTTGTATACAGCAGGTTCTTATTAGTCATCGGTTTTATACACATCAGTGTCTACTTGTCAATCCCAGTTGCCCAATTCATCCCACCACTATCCCCACCCCGCCCCCGCCGTGGCTTTCCCCGCCTTGGTGTCCATACGTTTGTTCTCCACATCTGTGTCTCAATTTCTGCCCTGCAAACCGGTTCATCTGTACCATTTTTCTAGATTCCCCATATATGCGTTAATATACGATATTTGTTTTTCTCTTTCTGACTTACTTCACTCTGTATGACAGTCTCTAGGTCCATCCACGTCTCAACAAATGACCCAAATTCATTCCTTTTTATGGCTGAGTAATATTCCACTGTATGTATGTACCACATCTTCTGTATTCCTTCGTCTGTCGATGAGGGCGCTGGTCTTGTTTTGAGGAAATAAACGGCTAAAGGGTCAGGCCCCTCATCACAGAATTGATGGATCCGCACTTCCATGTGGACCTCTGCTCCCACCCCATCCTCTCCTTTCCTCTCTGCAGAGCAAGGCCACAGCTGTGTGCTCATGGCGGGGGTTTAGTTTATCGTATTCTTAAAAGTTAAACTCATAAGAACCCACAGAAGGAGAACAAAATATCTGAAGAAATACAAAATAGGCTCAGACATAAGGCATTGGAGTTGTATTTTCAAGCTGGAGTCAAGAGGGAAAAAACAGAATTTGGGTGGTCTTTTTTTTTTTTTTTTACCATGGAGAGGAAATTTGAGTTAGACCCAGGGAAGGGCTCTGTGGGAAAAGCCAGTTACATGTTTCAGCAGCTCGCGTGGCAGAAATGCTGCAGGAAGCGCCTCTGGGACAGAACCAAGTAGCACAAGCAACAGCTTAGAATGGGGGGAAGGGGGGAGGGGTCCCACCCGGGTTCTGACCTAGGCCTCGGGGTCTGGTTCCATGTTGTAAAGTGAGGACAGGTGCGTCTGCAGCACGGGGCCGTGGTGGAGAATCAACTGAGCGTGGTGGTAAAGCACGTGAAGGTGAACTGGCTCAGACAAAGATACGTGCTGTGTGAGCTCGTGTGTGTGTAGAATCTAGAAAACCCGAGCTCACTGAAACATAGGTGGGTGGAGTGGGGGGGGAGAGTGGGCCGGCGGGCAGGAGGTGCAGACTTGCAGCTGTAAGATAAACGAGTCCTGGGGGTGTGACGTGCACGGTGGTGGTTGACAGTACTGTGGTTTATGTTTGAACGCTGCTGAGAGAATAGATCCTGAAGGTTCTCAAGAAACAAAATCGTGTAACTGTGTGAGGCGACAGATATTAACTAGACTTGCAGTGATCATTTTACAGTACGTACAGGTACTGAATCATGCTGTACACCTGGAACTAATACAGTGTCACATGTCAGTTTATCTCAGTGAGACTGGTGAATGCATATAAAGTTCTGAGAGTGTAATTTTTTTCTGGACACATTAGTTCTCTCACCCCCTTCCAAAGGAAGTTGTGGAAATTTCTTTTCTATAAATATTTAAGTAGGCAAATGCTGTTACTATAGCAAACATCAGAGGGTATCCACATTTAATGTAGAATCTGTGTGTGATTTCTTTAGAAAGAAATTCCACTTGTATGATTTGGACACTCCCGCCTCATGACTACTAGACGAGAGCTCTTTTCCCTGGCAGATCCCATGGAGTTCCAGGGTTTTCATACTTCTAAGTAGTTATTTGTGTAACAAAATATTTTAACTTTCTCTATAGGTTACCAAACAGATGAAAGCTAATGCCATAGGATTGATTGAATCCCTTGAAATCCTCTTTGCTGACTGGAAAACAGTAAGAAAAGCATTAGATTGTTTCTAGGTTTAATTTTGTTTAGTGTACACCATTTGGTTCCAGCGTGGATGTGTTTATTTCAGTTTCTGTCTTTAGCCAGTGACTCCTCTGGGCACGTTTACTAGAAGCAGGTACAGTAGCTCTCCGGCTTCTTCCTCGGCGTCCTAGCTTACTAGGCTTAGCGATGGACAAAGTAGCGTGCAGGAATTGAGTAGTAGTCGTGTATTTTATCTGTTTCTTCCTGCTACTGGTTTAGTAACTGTCAGCTTCTGCTTGAACAGTCAGCATAGGCTAAAAAATTGTGTTTAATAATCAGTGTGCTCAAAGAGTTTAAAATACAGGCAAATTCGATAAACTATTTTATTCTCATGTCACAGGTAAATAGAAAAATATTATAAGCTAAGTATATAATTAATGTGTTACAAAGGAGAGAAATTTCTGTGGCTTGAAAATGTTTGTTTAAATAAAATAAACGGGAGATATAAAGTTGAACTCTTAAAAATAAATTTATCTTTTATGATGTTGGATAATAAATGGTAGGTGCTGCTGTTTTATTTCATTCTCATGTAATAGGATATTGGACTTTGATTTTAAATTATTTTCAAAATTCTATTTCTTTTGGGAACAGTAATTGTTGATATTGTATTGTGGTCTTGCTTGTATCAGTAGAAGTGAAACTGGTGAGGAAATAAAACTCGTTGTCTTTCCTGAAGATAAAATTCTGGCAATTAAAATCATTTTGAATAAGCCTTACTGCCATGTAGCCTATTGTGTATTTTGTAAACTATGAACTTTATTTACACAGAAGAGTCTCAGAGCTCAAGCGCAAGAAGAAAGTCCTGGATACCAAGATGCAAAGAAGATGCTGAGCTTTGCCCCAGAATTCTTGAAGTCAAAACACTGCTTAGAGCAAACTACTCAGATGATTATTTCTGCGCTGAGAGGTATATCCTGCAAATGGAATTTATGGTTAATCAGAATTTGACAGTTTGAGGAATCTCAGACATCTTCTCGTTGCTAGTCTGATTCATTCACTGGGGCCTGCCCAACGCTCCTTCACTGACATTAATTACCTGTAGGAACCTGTGGGATCGAACTCCCCCTTAGCATCTGTAAGTTCCTCTGCCTCCATTACTAGACCCTAAGAGGCAGGTTGCTTATTTAGCTGATGAACTGAATAATCTTAAGTGGTTTGAAATTGCCTTGAGGGGTCACTTTGGCTTAAAGGGCGTCTCGAGTCCATCACAGCGCTCACTACCTGGTGAGGGACGCCGAGGGTGACCGCCTTCCCTTCTCCTTGCACAGGGCACCGCGGCCACGTAGCACTCCTCCAGGACTGTGTCCAGAGCCTCTGCAGCTCGGCCAGGGCTCTCCACGGCGACCGAGCCCGCCACAGGGAGCTGGAATCTCGAGCTGCCTCACTCCTCTTGGGGTTTGAATTTGAAGAAAGACCTGGTTTGTTGGGACCCTGGGAAGCTTGTGATCGGGATCCCACAGCAGCAGGACGAGAGCAGCCTGCGCCAGACAGGCCCGGCCCCCGGAGGACCCGAGGTGTACCCAAGCGGGTGTATGAGCTCCCGGGCCCGGCCCCGGGGGGCTCAGAGCAGGGCGCGCTGCCCACCCAGGAGGGCGCTGGTCGGGGGTCTCCCACCGCTGGAGGGCAGAGTGACCGCTTCACAGACATCTAGCCTGTGGATGGCCTCCTGTTGGGTGTGGACATATAAACGCAGTGGATCCTGATTGCAGATGCCTGTGTGTGCACCCAGAGGTTTCCCAGCAGACAGTTTAAATCGGGTGATTTACCATGTTGGAACTTTGTGGCAATAGGATGGAATTAGGAGTTCAGAGCCAAGTGAGCAGCCCTTCCTCTGGTTTTCCATCGCCTTGAATTGTAAGTGTTCATCTTTGACGCTGGCGTGCAGTCTCTGGTTGGCTCACTAGCCTGTCGGTAAAGGGTTTTTGTGGTGATTGCGGTGATTATAAGTTATTTTCCTGGGAGCGGAAACTTTTGTGCCTGTATCTGCGCTCCCCTGCAAATAGCAACGGTGAGTTTTACGGTGAAACTGCTAAAACAAGTCTAACCAGAGCAGCTTAACTTGCACTGCTAAATCGAAAGGTGTTTTCTTGAAGGATTAACTGGCTGCTGTTTTGAGTAGTGTGTTCAGGACACCGTTTCCTGTTTCTTCCCAAATTATAAGTAGCTTCCTAAGTATAGTATAGTTTATATTAACAATGCGCTTGCTGGCAATACTCGTTTACTTCGTTATCTGTTGGGGGTCCTATTAGGGGCTGTGCGAGTATCATTTACAACCAATCAAATGCTGCCAGAAGCACACCTGACGGTCGGATGAGGTTGGGAGACCAGAGGCTGGGTCGTTTCTTGATAATCCTTGTTTGATAAACGAGCAGTGAGAGTTTGCATGTGATTTGATGGCGATTAAACGTCCTCGCTATGTCTCACAGCTTTATCCACAATCAGGTAATAAAGACGACCTTGCACTTCAGGCGCCTTCCACTGAGGAAATAGTTTGACATCTTTGACGGCAGAAATGTATGTAAGTTGAAGAGATACACGGTGACCTTGCTTGGGTGACGTCAGGCGTTTCTTGGAGAAGAATTATTTTAACTCACCAGGTCTTTCCCTCTGCCCTTTTCGCTCGCAGACACACTGTGTGCTTGGCACGGCTGCTGGGAGCCAGCTGTTGGTGCCAGGGCTGAGTGTGACGATTTTCTCATTAGGCAGAGCTTTTTCTGACACAGTGACCAGTATTTATTTACGGTGTTAATGAGCCATGTGTTTTCAGGTGCTTTAAAATGGTGCAGTGTAACAAATGTGCTTTTGTTTTCTTTTTTCTTTTATTTTTGGCATTTGAGCTTGTATTCCTTCTGAGGGTCCATATGAATTTGTCATAGCTGATGCTCTACCAAGTGGCGCTTTGACGTGAAGTTTTACGAAGAGTGTGCGGGCAAGGATCCTCTCTGAAGATCTTCTTAAACTATTAGTTTGGTGGGTTTTATCTTAGTTTTCAGTATTTAATCTTTACTTTTGCTTTCTAAACTCATGACTTCATTGGTCAGACACCTTTTTTTTATTGTCTTTGTAAAATTTTGTATATACATATATTTATACTCTGGACTGTTGCACGATATTTGAACCAAGGGTGGAGAACATATTTGCCATTAGAATCATGTGCGCTGATAAGACATATTATAATAAAGGAACTGCCCTCAACAGGTCTCGCCTCGTGGTCTCAGTTCTCGCTCCTGTTTGTAAAGTTAGTGTCACCCCTCCTCCTCCACCTCGCCTAGTCCTGCCCGTCTCTCAGATTCTGGAAGTCTCCCAGTCATATTAACTGTAACGCTGGGGACGTGACGGGCGGGGCCCTGAGATGCTGAGGAGACAGCGGCAGAGGACCTTCAGGAGGGGGACAACAGGTCACTGCAGCGGTGACACGGTGTGGCCGGTGCCCCAACGCGACGGGCGGGAGGCTACCCACCTGAAGGCCGAGACGAGCAAGGTCGGACCCGGGACAGGGCGGCAGCAGAGGGAACCGCATGTGCAAGCCTGCAGGACGGCAGGGTTGGGGCATGACCAGTGGGGCTGGGCTGCTGCGGGGGGCTGAGCGGGGGTGGGGTGGCTAGGCCGGGAGCGTCCTCACAAGGACATCAGGAGAGGCCTGGCCCCATAGCAAGGCCCTTGAATCGTTGTAAGCTGGGAAGTGATCTCAAATTTGGATTCTAGAAGCATCCCTCTGTGTGGCGGGTAGAGCATGGGTTGGAACGGCTGGGAGGTGATCTCCAGGACGCCTGGACCAGGGTCGCGGATGCAGCTGGAGACAGTGAGAGGGTCCTAGAAACGTTCACGGTGGGGGGGGCAACGGACCTGACTTGGTGACCTGGCAAAGGGAGGACCAGGGAACGGAGGGAAAAGCCTGCTGTCCAGACGTTCAGCCTGAGCAGCCAGGTGGGGTGGGTACCATTGACTGGGGTAGGAAACTCCAGAGGAGGGGGCGTGGGGAGGTGGGCTCGTTCACCACAGCTGCTGCGACAGGTACCACAGCCGGCAGCTGAAACAGCAGGAACTTAGTGTCTCCCAGTTTGGCGGCCAGAGTCCAAGTTCAGGTGTCAGCGGGGTTGCTTCCTTCTGAGGCTGAAAGGGAGGATCTGGTCCAGGCCCCCTGCGCCCCCCTCCCCTCTCCAGGCTTGTGCATGTCTGTCTCCAAATTTCTCCCTTTTATCAGGACAACAGTCATATTGGATTGGGGCCTCCCCTAATCCTCTCATTTTAACTTGATTTCTCTGTAGGGACCCTCTCTCCAAATAGGGTCACATTCTCAGGTGCTGGAGGTTAGGATTTCAACGTATAAATGTGGGGGTGGGGACACAGCTCAACCCGTAAGAGGAGCTGTAATGAACTTAGTTTTAGATCTGTTGATCTGAGTTCTCTGGGCACATCCAAGGCGTGGTGTCCAATAGGAGGGTGGAAATATGCGTCTGAAGCGTGAGAGGGTTTATGGGTCTTTTGTATTTTCATACTGTGATGTGTCTTTCCCTTTTTCATATAAACCTCATCGTTCCATCAGTAGGTATGTTGCCTGATGGGAGTTCAGTGAATCATTTAATTCTTACAGTGGCTTTATCATGTAAACATAAGCACTCAACCCCGTTTTACAGAAGAATGAACAAAAAATTTTGAGAATTTGAACTATTTGTCCAAAATCACACAGGGAGAAAGAATTAGAATTAGGCCTCAGATACAAGTTTATAAACTCCAAATATCACACTTCTTTGTAAATCTCAGTAGATGGAGGGGTAGAGGGAGGAAGAGAGGGTTGGATGATGAATAGGACGAGTGGATGGATGGATGTGTGGATGGACGGATGGATGGACAAGTGGATGATGGATGGACAAGTGGATGGATGGATGGTTGGACAAGTGGATGGACGGATGGACGGACAAGTGGATGGGTGGGTGAGTGGGTGGGTGGGTGGGTGGATGGATGGATGGATGGGTGGATGGATGGATGGGTGGGTGGATGGATACATGGATGGATGGATAATGACAAGAGCTCACATTTGTTGAGAATTTACTGTGGGCACAACTACTAAACTAAAGCAGTGTACACGCAGCTGCTCATGTAATCATCAGACAACTCTACGAGGGAGATGCTGTTGTTATCCTTACAAGCAAAGATGAAGGAAGTGAGGCTTGGAGTGGGGGGTGATTTTCCTGGGGTTATAGGGTTAGGAAGTGGGTGGAGCCTAGGTTAGAACCCAGGCCTGTTTCAGAATTTTTAGTCTCTCTGCTAATTAATGCAGTTCTCTGAGAGTGTAGATGCCACTGCAACATTCAGATCCTCCCTGGTTTCATTTGAGTCTATAGTCAGTAAGCATTTTTTTTAATACTGTAGGTGGGCAGGATGACACCTACTTGCTGTGGGAAGCCCCTTCCTTTCTTTGCTCCTCTGAGAGCTGTCTTGCTGCCATTCTGGGTACCATCTTGAGGACCATAAACTTTAAGGCATTCACGTTTTAAATGTCTTCTCATTTTTTATCCGCCCTAGCCATGACATTCTCCCTGGCAAGCTCAGGTTTTTTCAGATCACCTTTTTAAGTGAAGCATGACAGATACATAAAATGCACAAATCACGTGTCCTACAAGAATTTTCACTGTGTGAAGACATCACTGTAGCCACGACCTAGGTAAAGGAGCAGAATATTACAGACACCCAGTGGCCCTCCTCATGCCCGCTCCTGTCATTGCCCCTGAAAGGTGACCCCCTGCCCTACTTGTAACACCATCGTTAGTTGTGCCTGTTTGAGCCTCATACAGGTGGCGTCACACCTGTGAGTTCCTTAGTGTCTGATCTCTGCTCGGTGTTATGTTTGTGACTAGCAGTCATTCATCCATTTTCACTGCTGTATAGTATTCCCCAATGTGACCATATCACAACTTAACACATGTGTGGGTAAGTTGCAAGCTGCCCACCCACCCCCTCCCCCCCGTCTGCCATACCCTTGGGCCTGTAACCTTTCAGTGCCTTCCCCCTGCCATGGCTTTGGCTAAGAGGACATCGGCAGGAGTGATACACAGTCTCGGAAAAGTGCTTTGAGGTTGGGGCTCAGTAGCTCTTGTACTGCCGCTGTCACCACGAGACAGGTACGCGCAGGCTGGTCCTAGGGGAAGGATGAGAGGCGCGTGATGCCGAGGCTCCGACCCCCAGAATCCAGCCTAGACCAGCTCATAGATTCGTAAGCTAAAAGCAAGCGCTGGTGCTGATGCCATAGAGCCTGTGTGGGCGCCGTGCTCAGCTGACATTGCATTCCTCTGTGCCCCATGCTGTGTCTCGTTGATAGACACCTTATCCCCTGGCTTTGGTTATTACAATAGTGGTGCCATGGACATTTTTTTTAAAAAAAATTATTTTATTCATTTATTTGGTTGCTCTGGGTTCTTAGTTGCGGCTTGAGGGCTTCTTAGTTGTGGCATGTGCACTCTTAGTTGCGGCATGCATGTGGGATCTAGTTTCCTAACCAGGGATCGAACCCGGGCCCCCTGCATTGGGAGCACGGAGTCTCAACCACTGCGCAACCAGGGAAGTCCCAGACGTGAACATCCTTGAACCTGTCTTTTTGGTGCACACGTCTACAGTTTCCTGAATGGCTCAATATTTTAAAATTGAGGACTT